ACCACGCCTTCTTTCTTTGCGTGAACATTTGGGCGGCATTACGCAAATATTTCCACATGGTGACGTAGATATGTGGGGGCGTGTTAGAATGAGTCGTTTTAGGGGGGCATGGCAGAGTCTTGACTTTGATAAAGAATATCTCTTTGGTTTTGAGACTTTAGTCTTTGCAACTTCAGGGATCTTATCTATGCACAATCAGCTTGTAACACTCCAAAGAGAAGGGGAAACTTGAAATCGCATCATATGACCCCTTTAAATAGAACCTGTCTGACAAAGTGAAGCATGCTTAAAGAGCAACACAAAGTCCGGACTTAAATCCAATTGAGATGCTGTGGCATGACCTTAAACAGTCCATTCATGCTCGAAAACCCTCCAATGTGGCTGAATTAAAACAATTTTTCAAAGAAGAGTGGGCCAAAATTCCTCCACAGGCACACAACACTTGATTGCAGTTGTTGCTGCAAAGTGTGGCACAACCAGTTATTTGATTTAGGGGGCAATTACTTTTTCACGTAGTGCCAGGCAGGTTTGGACAGCTTTTTTCCCTTAATAAATGAAATAATTATTTCAAAACTGCATTTTATTTACTCTGGTTATCTTTGTGTGATATTAAAATGTGTTTGATGATCTGAGTCTTTTAAGTGTGACAAATATGCAATTTTTTTTTAAATAAAAACAGGAAGGGGGTAAAAACCTTTTCACGGCACTGTATATCAGTAATAATATAGTCGGCAATTTGAGTTGAATTACTGGAATAAATGAACTTTTCCACGACATTCTAATTTATTGAGATGCACCTGTATTTACAGCTTTCAGCTTTTATAATTGAAAATTTTTATCATAATTCATGTAATGCAAGGGTCTGGTTGAGCATGAACCACTATAATTACTTCCGTTCTGGCACTAAACATGCTGTGTGGTATTGAACTAGATTTACCAATGTAAATGTAACATCAGGATCACTGCTTGTGATGTAAGAGCGTAAGTCTGCAGAGTCTGCCTTTTTACAAACACATGGGCCGTCTGAGATTTCCTAGACACTATGCTACACTTAAGAAAAACATCTGGTGTATTGTGATTGTTTTTTTCCCCGTGAAAGTGAAGGCAATCCGCTTGTGTTGGGGAGTAAATCAACAGCTCAAGCAGTCACATGTGCAGCGTGCTGGATTTATCTGTATAGTGGGATTTGCAGCAGTATTTTCTTTGTGCTGTTTGTACTCAGCTATTAATGAGAACTTGCAATTTTAAAATCCCTGTGAAATATGAATGCATTCTTCCATTTGTAGCTCTAATTAGAAGGAATTATTGAAGAAAATTGTATATGTGTGTGTGGCCTGTCTGGTGTTAAGCATTGTCTGGTCCTGCTGTGGCTGATCCTGACCCACTTTCCCCCCTTACTATCAGCACTCCCGCTTTAACTGCCACTGAGCACACGCTCCCACCATCTGTTATCCCCTGGCCCATTGCCATGGCAATACTGGGAGTCTTTTCTAAACAGGCGATGCAGTAGTCCGTGGGTAATGTAGTAAAGGGCTGAACTCCAGCAACAGGTCATTGTACTAAAACCACGGCGTTGGCATAAGCCAGCTCAGTACATGCGACGCAGCCCTCTGAGCTTGAGTAATGATATGCTGTGATTAAGTTGAGGGACTAATCGCTAACATGATTCAACTGTACCAACCCACCAGACGCAAAAAAGTACCATGGGGTAAAAATTCATTAGAAATGGATATCAAATAAATCTGGATTAAGAGTGTTCTGTAGTGGTGGGGATTTTGATTCATCTCAGTGACTTTTGAAGCCATTCACCGAAAAGATTTGTTCAGAGTTGTTCACTGATTCATTCAGTAACCCTTTCTGCGGGTCACCAATCTGTGATGACAAGTTAGAATGAGTCTTTGAATCGTTTATTCAGTTGATTCATCTTTCACGACTCATAGTATTCTCTATTTTAATTTGTGTGTTTATAAATCTACTATGAAATTCCAGATGCACAAGCATCCCAAGCAAGTTACAGCACTGTTAGTTAGAGAGTTTTTATTTATAACATGCTTTATTATTATTATATTAATATTTTGATTTAGTTGTATTTTTTTAATTTTGTGTTGGGTCATTCTTGAACGATTCGTTCATTTTGAACGGGAGTGATTCATTCAGTCGCGCATGCGCAACATCCTATAGGTTCTGTACTGGAATTAGTCAAATAGTTCACCTGTTTCGAGTCTTCGGGTTTTTCCGAGTCATTCGTTCATCACGTGACAGCCCCATACACTTAACCAATGCAGTCT